TGCTTTCCTATTGGACTGTTACAGTAGGTGATTTCTGATCCCCACCGGGAGGAAAACATGAGAGTTACACAAACTGCGCAGTCTAATAGGTGACCCTCTTTACTCAGGCACTGTAAAATGGATAAACTTAGTTTAAAAGAGGAGTCCTTCACTTTCTTGATTAAGTATCTTTGTGGGAGGCATGGTGGCACAGTGGGCAGCATTGCTGCCTTGCAGAGCTGGACCCTGAGTTCAGTTCCTGGGGTGCTGTCTGGGTGGAGTCTGCATGTTCTCCCTGTGCTCAAGAGGGTTTTACTTCAGGTGCCCTGATTTCCTCCTGCAGTCCAAAGACGTGCTGGTAGACACCCTGGTGTGTGTGTGTGGCTTCTGGCTCCCCTGCAGTCCTGTAATGGATAAAGCCCTTGAAAAGCGGATGGATGGAAGTATCTTTGTTTATATTTTCAATTTTTGGAATAATGGCAGGGGCATTTCTAGACAAGGAAAATGCTTGTTAGTACCACAGGCATTAAGTATGCTAAAGTTAGCATATTCTTATAAGAAATCATTACCCTTTCAATGACTTTATGGAAACAGAGGATCTTCAGTACCATTGACAATATTATGTAAAATACAGGACTAGATATTTTTATATCTAGGGTGTTTTGAATGGCACAAATGGAGAATGTATTCTTTTTTCAATAGTTACCATTAGAGGAGAGATCCTGCATCTGAGTTCTCTCTCTCAGGATAGTTCCCTTATTCCTGGCACTGCTATATTTCTAAATAACATGCATTCACTTAAAAAATTCTAAAATAGTGAACTAGCTTTCAGCACCTAATGAACAGCTTTTCAATCAGTGGCTGGGAAAGTAATATGTGAGAAGTTGGTGAATAGAAGAAACATAAGAAAGTTTACGAGTGGGAGGAGGGCATTTGGTCCATTAAGCCCGTTGGGTATCAATTGATTGAGCAATTGGTGAACTGGTCAATCTATCTGAAAAATCCAGAACAGGTAATTCTTTGCACACAAAAAGGCAGGTGTGCCTGTATGTTAGTGAGCCCTTGCTTCTTTGAAAGACATGCGGTTTTCGACAGCTACGCACAATAGGTATTGTCAATGGCTCTCAAAGCATGGTACACGACCACTTCTACTTTTGGTATGTTACGTTTCATAATTAACTTGATTTCGGAAATTGGCAGTGCACACCTTCAAATTTCATTGTGCTTTTAGTTCACTGATGAAGTGTCATATTAAGAAAGAAGCTCTGACATTTGTTATCAAGAGATCAAATAACTGGCCCTCAGATCCGTAGAAGGATCTCATTCTCAGACATAAGAGCCTCTCTAAGAATAACTGGGTGTCAGTAAGAACTACTTGAAAGTCTGCAGGCCCTGTATTACCTGGACCCATTTAGGAAGCAAGGTTAGGATGCCTTTACATGTGTAAAAGTCAATAAATTGTATTTTGTTTCTAGAACAGCACACCATTTACCACCAGCCTTCTGTACTCTTAAGCATAACATTTTCAAGGCAGTGTTACAGTTTAACAGCTTCTGCCTGAATCTGCTGCTTTTTTTTACAAAAGAGTCAAAAATATGTCGTAACATCTGCTTTGTTGTAGTTTTCTATTGGTGCTCAGTTCATTCCAAGAGCTGCAGCAGGCCGCCTTATATTCTGTTAACATAACGCAGGCGCTTGGAGCTCTATTTCAATTAAGCTATGCCAACACATGTCCACTGGGTACAATAGGTAAGTGGCAGCATTACCGGGATTAAAACAGAGCTTTTTATATTTAAAACTATTAATCAGGGAAATAAACGGCCAACATCAAAGGAGCCAGAATGTGAGACATAATGGGAAAACTGGCTCATCAAAGTGAGGATCTAGCTGAAATCCTCGTTCACAATAGTTTCGAGCACAAAAGGCGTGGGGGGCCAATTCACAGAGCAAGTTCTTAGGGTTTACAAATTACACACACGAGCAGTGGAAATCAATACTGGTGAGACTGCGTTTAGGCAACTCAGAACACAGGAAAAATTAAGAGAAGGGCTTTTAATAATGCAAACCATTTTCAAGTTTTAATGATAAATTGAAAGCTCATCAACTACCCCGTTTTGAGACTGTAGAAAACGTTGGATCTCGGGGCTCCCATTTTGTGCTTCCGATGATGTACTGACTATGCAAAGTTTAACAGCGCGGATCTGTCAAGAAATGCACTTGTGCTTGTGCCCATGCCGAAGACATACGCCATGTGCGTGCACCAGCTGTGTCCTGCTGGCGGGGTCGTAGTGGTGCTTCCACTCAGTGAGAGAGGCAGCGCAGGTCCGGACGTGTCAATAACAGGTGTCATTAACAAAGGAACCCGATTATTCGCAGTGCGAGGAAACAAGACCATGAACGTCAATTTTTGTATTAAAAAATTTAGGATCAACTACCGTTTTTAATCACATGCTTGCCCAGTTTAGGATTACCAGACAGTCAAGGCTCCTGTAGTCTGGCCAAGACTCCTGTGCCACTCGAGTGAATTGTCAATCTTGAATTCCAGCAGTCTTGCTCTCCCACCACTTATTATGAGAAACAGACCATCAATGCAAAATGACAGCATGTACAGTATGAGTCCGATTGTCTGATTGCACGAGCTGGAGGGATGACTGTTGGTACCCGTCCTCCACATGCATCACTGAAGGTGGCAGCCGACCTGCTGAGGTCAAATAAATCACCGACAGGAAGTGCAGTCCACGACACAGTACGATCTTCAATTACTGCCCACGTCATGCAGCGAAGAGACAGCCATTGTTGTCTGAGTGATGTCATATCTCTGTAAACCACCGAGACCTTTAGTGGACATCTGGTGTAACTGTAATCACTGCTGGAGGCAGACAGACCTGCTCTTAGTGGTATTCTCAATTGTTTTGGAAGAGCAGTTTGTTCTATACTGTATAGTAACATTCTGCATGCACTCACATACATCTGGGCCGTGGCAGTCTGTAACAGGCTGCCCAGCCATGTTGGTGGGGGAAATACGCTGGCTTCTTTCAAGACACAGCTGAATTAGATACCTGGATCAATTAGCTACTAACTACCTAATGTTCCTGAATGGCCAAATGACCTCCCATTGTTTGAACCCTTTCTTATGTTCTTATCTCTGTCATCTTTCAGAGGGAAAATCTATGGCACATTTTTTACACAGTTGTTAACCACTGGCAGATAAAGGATCACGCTTTCAGTGTTTCTGCAATTTAAGTCATTTCCATTAAAACCAATATACCGTACATACTTTGAGACACATTATCAGGATTGAATCATTATCTACTGGCAGTCATAAAGAAAATAAATTACACCAAAGACAAGCAGCAGGTTTATTAGCATTGTAAATTTTCTTTTTTTTAAAAAAAATTGCCTGGTCTTATGAGAAACGAGGACAAAGAAATCAAAATCCGAGATGAAAAAGTGATCACCTTCAAAACATTTAATTAAGCCAGAGTGATCAAAAAAGGTGGGACTTTCTAGCAGGTTTCATTCCACTTGGGGTACATTTTGCCTCAGGCGTAAGTCATTCATGTAGGTTAACGTCAGAATAACTAACTGTCTTTGAAGTCATTATTGGGATTAGGGTGTAATTTGCCTCAAAGTTGTCCAGCACTGCTTGGGTTTGTTAGAGTCTGCAGCTATCTCAGGCAGAAGCAAAGGAGATTAGTGAGGGCTGTAGGCCCGTAGGAGACTCCTCCCCCCGCAGACACAAGGCCTCGCTGATCTCACCAGGAGCCCTCAAATTCTTAAACAAACACTAACCATCAAAATGTATCTGAACAGGCTAGAAGATCAAACTTCCAGGTTTTTTCCCCCGGCAATATTTGCAAGTGAATATTTGCTAAACCGGCGTTTGAATCCACCCGTCATCCTGCGACTAAAGCCACAGAGCGAAAATGTGGTGGGAAGCACGTTTTCCCAAAACACTGTTTTCCCAGAAACAGAGGAAACACAACATTTATGTCTTCAGAGTGTGTTGTAACCCATTGCTCTACAGCTGGACTAATAAGATTTGAGCTGGAAGTCTAAGGACACAAGGACGGCCCCGGAAGGGTGCAGACCAGACAGCCCATAGCGCTCATGAGGAAGCAGGGAGCTCAGAGGGCTGAGGGTCTCAGCCAGGTGTCTCTTTAGGCATCCCGGGAGATCAGCTTCAACAACGCCAAGGCACCCACTACCCTTTATGTCAAGAAGTGTCTCCTCCAGCCAGTCTTAAATGCATTTTACCCTATTCCTTGTGCCATCAGGGCTGTGGTTTGCTGCACAGCACGGAGTGATTAATTTCCGATCAGGATTTACCCCACATGAGCCAAGCCTCCTCTGTAAGACCTGATACAGGAAATAAGGATTCACACTGGTTAAGTAGGCAACAGTGTAGTTTCCCCCATGGTTTTTGACAATTCAGGTCTGGATGCATATACATGGGAGTAGATGTATAGCTGCTTTTGTACAGGATTTCACCCTAAAACACTAGAAGGAATTCAGGAACAAGTAATAGGTATATTCCATGCTGAAAAGAGAACAGAAATGACAGACTTGTTTTCGTGTGATCTTCTCTATTCACATGCAGGTTTCGACTTCACCCCTCTCTTCACCTCTCCACCCGAGTGGCCCCTCTCCCCTGCTCCCGCCTCCTCCACTCTCCCAGCTTTTGTTCTCCCGTGCTATTTAATCTTTGCTGTCTGCCCTTTCTTTCTCACACCCGAAGAAGGCTTCACAGACGAAATGTTGTTTTCTCTCTTCTCTTTTCAGCAGGAATAAACATGACTTGTTCCTTTGCAGCCTACGCATGCAGACGCAGCTCCCCACCTGAAGGAATTCAGTACTGAAGTGTTAAAATTAAAATGATTTCTAACCAAAGACCTTCAGGACTATAAAACATTGCAAATGTGTGGACAGATGTTCTGCTGCTGTTTCAGTTATTGTTTAATCCTGCCCTTCCCAGTGATAATGACAAAGTGTCTTTAATGGTATGAAATCACTGGTTATGATAGTTGGAAGTATTTGCGCATTGGGACTGATGGTGATGACTAGTGTAAGAATTAAGCTGCACTGTACACTTCTGTTGTGATCTTATTATATTATGTGGCTTATTATTAGTGCTTAAGAAATAAGCATTATCCTTAAGAAGCCAATAAAAGCATGGCTGCCACCCCAAAGTCAGTGCACTGGAGCACAGGCTATCAATGGCATTAAACAGCAGACTATAATTACTGTGTTTAACCTGGCACTGAATCTCCAAATCAAATGGGTGCAAACAGATTTTCACCGGTCAGTATTGCTTGGTCAAGCCTTTTACTATTTCAAAAAAACAGAAAGTGTTCTTTTATTTACATCAGATGAAGGTGATCTTCATCACTAATTAAACATTTATGGAGACAATTTATATTGGCGCTATTGTGTGGAATTAAAAATGTAGTGTTCCTTTAGAAGCTAGGGGACAGTAAATCTTGTAAAAATCATATGGAATTATCTAGGACTCGATTGCAAAACCGTGCATCTCCAAGGAAAGACAGATCTGCATTAATACTAAAAGAAGTATGATGCATGATTTGTCCTTGAATGATTAAAAAATACATTTTATAATATCTATGAAACATCTTTTAAGAAAATAAAAAAGGCAATTTCATTCAAATTGCAGGGACAAAAATAAATTAACTAGATTCACCTTTTAAAAGCGTGCTTAAGAAAACGATTTAGAAAAAGCAGTAAGCTTTGTAGTACAAGCATTATCAATTTTCATTTTGTGGCCACTTCAGGAGGAAAAAAACGTATAAAGCATTGACAAATGAATACAGCTAATATAGTGTGTCCATTATTTAGCTAGAATGTATTCAAACTGCTGCTCATATTCTTTCCTTTAACCATCCCAAGCTGCTCAAAGAGCGACAGAGCTATCTGGATAATACCTGGATATCTATTTATTCCACCCCAGAACTGTTGTCTCATTTAGTACAAACCTGAACGTTTCTATACTAAACACCCTCGGTAAAAATCGATGAAATCACAGATGAAAAAGTGTCATTTTTACAGTTATTCCCTGGAATGGAGTACAGTAATATTTTATTCATTGAAAGAAAAAAAACTATTTTTTTTGCGTGTGAATTAGGGAGGCACTTCTGACTTGTTTGGTTAGCAGACGCCGTTCTGTATTTGCTCGATGATTTAAAAAAAAAAGAAATACCAAGTGAGAAACGAAGGGGAAGAAGGGCAGAAGGGGAAGCCTCCACGTGCGTGTTCATACTGCCTCCACAGGCCTTCCTCAACAAACACACCGTCATTGGTTTCAAGCCCCCGAGGCCCCAAGTGCGCCATCACCTTGCGTGAAAGTTGTTCATTTCAATCTGCACTCTGACCGGCTCGACTGTCTGCACCCCCGCGCCGCACTGCGGACACGCGAGGGACACGTCGGCGATGGAGCTGCTCTTGATGCAGTAGTAACAGAAGACGTGGCTGCAGCCGATGGTGTGCGGCAGAGTGGGCCACTCGCCGCAGAGCGCGCACTCCCGGCAGCGCGCCGCCCGCGAGACATCGCCGGCCTTGAGGCCCCCCAGCGGCGGGAAGACGGCGCCGACGCTCGCCTTCAGCCTCCGCGTGTTCACGAGGGGGCACAGGAAAATGAGGAACTGGGCGAAGCCGTGCCACAGCAGCTCGCGGTTGACGTGCTCGAAGCCGAGCTCGCGCGCGCGCTGGGGCCGGCTGAAGACCGCCCGGATCCCCAGGCAGCGCTCCGTCAGCGTGGGAAGCCGCCCCCTCTGGAGGAAGACCAGGAAGTTCAGCAGGCTGGCGACCTTCGCGAAGCCGCCCAGGAGGGCGAGCGCGCGCCGCACGCGGGGAAAGGCGGAGTCCGCAGGCAGGCGGAGGAAGAGGCTGTGAGACCTCTCCTGGAGCCAGCGCTCCCCCACTGTGCAGAGCGCGAACCACAGCTTCTGCTGCCGGCTCATGGGCTGGTACCTGGCCGCCTGGGAGAGGTCGTTCTTGTACCGGATGTGGAGCAGAGACTGGCCAACCGTGGCATTCTGGGAGTAGATGGTGAACCTCCAAAGCAGCAGCTGCAGGAGCGCTTTTAGCTCTGGTTCGAAAGGGGTTAAATGCCCAGGTTTGAAATGCTGGAAGCACTGGGTGAACTGTGACCAAACGAGCTGCTCTAAAGCTCTATCCAACTCAAAAGCATCAAGCTGACTTATTCTGAGAACTGGAGTTACAGTGCTTGAACTGTCTTCCATGAAATGCTTGTCTCCTCCAGTGTCATCTGCGAGCAGAAAAAGAAAATTGTTATGCATTTTTACATTTAGGTCTAAATCGCTTTTCACGTGTAAAATCCGTAAGAAATTCCCTTTTAGCTCTGCTGTGCACTAGCACAGGAGGTCTTATAACTGTTCCCTCTGGAGGTTCAGAGTGTGGACAAATCACATCATAGAAGATTATCCAAAGAGCGCAGGCTTAGCAATGCAGTAAACATCCGCCATGTGGAACTACTTTCCTCTGACAGCCTTTATATCGAAACCCGGGGCTGCAATGTCTTGTTAGGAATATTCCCTGCTTTACTGCTATGGTTGTGTCAGAAAGGGAAGGTGTCAATCAAACTGCTACTACGTATAATGTTATTGCTTAAGACATTCCGATTACTTGTGAGATTTCCTTGGTGTGCCACTTCATAAACAATGTGCTTCTTTAAAAATGTATAGCAGGCTAAACCATAAACAAAAGCCTAATTTTCTAAAACAATTTTGATGTTACTGCTACGCCACATACTACATAGGAATAATGTGTTAAAAAAAATCTGAAGTGGCTTAGTATTCTTTTTTTTTACTTACTATACCTACTGCGATTACAGGAAAGCGTGCTAATTATTTCTATAGTTGAGACTGAAAACTATGACAGCCTGTACAACGCAATACTGATTGACACAAATGTCAAATATCTTCAATGTAAAAGTCTGGGATATTATTTGAGCCATGGTAAAGTCCAGAACAATAAAAAGACCTCTATTCTGCCTACATATCCAACTCGCTTACTAAATTCAAATTAAACTCCCATTTACTAAAAGAAGCTCAGATGTCCTACAGGCAAATGTAATGCAGACAAACGCTTCTGGTCTGCTGCTTAACAAGCTAATTACCCAAGTACAAAATAAAATAAAATGCAAACTAAAAATGTTCAGACTACCCACAAGCTCCCATGAGGATCTCTAAACCAAACCTGCTAGGAAAATTAAAATAAAACCAAGTAAAAAGCAAAGGAACAGCAGGTGACTTTTTAGTTTCTCAAAGATGGTGTCTGTCAAGCAGACTGTGGAAGAAGGAAGCAGAAAGTTGAGCTGGACTACGTAACTGAGACAAATTACTGCTTCACTCCACTCTGGGGATACAAACTCCTGATATTCTTTTCAATGCTTTTATTGAGCAGTTTACAAGTTATGAATTAATATATTTTATTTGGGAACATATTATTGACAGAAAGCTATCAATAGTAATGTGGCTATTGTCAAGGGCTTGTCAATATTAATGTAATTATGATTAAGAGGACCACATGGATGTTAGCTAGGGCAAGTAACATCTCCTACAGGGCTGCTATCAATACCAGGATTACTATTGACATGTTTCTTGAGACTCGTGGTACTACGAGATATATTACAACTAGACACTTTTGTCAATGCTCACTGCCTATAAAAATTAAGCATTTAAATTTACAAGGCTCTAACTACAGGAACTGGAAATCTATGATTCTTAGGTAATCATCAAAACACGCAGTCAATGGCCATATTTACTGCTATAGTAAACAAAAGCCCAGCCGTACACATACAGTTCACAGAAGACACAGAGGACTGGCACCCTGGAGAAAGACAACCACAGCCTTCCTGGTGCTCGGCCAAGGAGAGACGCTTCTTTTTCTCCTCCTGGTGATGCTCTGCCGCTTGAGAAATCCCTGGTACCTTCGATCAGTGCAGACTGGAGGTAAGATTCTATACTTTTTACGTTGCGTAGGAATTAATTTAACGCCTATATCAGCTTTTTATAATCCACTGGAAATTTTGCACATTAATGTTTTTTCATCTGGGTCACTGTCGTGCCAATTCTTAAATGACATTTGTGATGCTTAGAACATGCAAAGATCAGAACACAGGCTTGTTTTTTTCAGTGGACGGTGTGAGAATGTAGTAAAATGAAACATTTAATTGATTAATTGTACACATGTGTCATAAAGTCCTTTGCAGAAGGAGCAGTTTCAGTTTTTTTTTTTGGTCTGTATTGCGGGTTTGCATTTATACTTATTTCCGATTATCCCCGGACAATGTTGCAAACAAACCAAAATAAAATAAAAAAAAACAGACAAACGGACGACGTACACAAGCCGACACCCAGGTCTTTAAAATATCGGGGTTTTGTACACATCTGAAAAGCAATAAGAAGTCTCCCTTCCATAATGACCTCCTCACATTCTTAATGCAGTCCATCTGGAATCCTCCACTCCCTTCACAACAGCAGCGAGTTCCGCACAGGAGGGAAACAAAGAGAATCGGAAAATCAGAGACACGGGAAACACATACAGCGCGAACTTGAAATCCGCGTACTTTCACCCCTGGGGGGAATGACTGACAGCGGAACGAACCAGCCCTCCTCTGGGCGGCCGAACGCGGAGCTCTCCAGCCGCGGCTGAGCCCGGGGAAGCAGGCCAGGGAGCTGGAGGCTCCTGGAAGAGCAGGCCGTGCCGCGGGCCTTGACCCCCCGACGCTCTGCTGGAACGGCCTGCGATGCCTGGCTCCCTAAAAAAGACTGTAGCGCATTCTGGGGAAAAGGCAAGCGCGTGGTCACGGACATTCAAAACCGATTCAACTGAACTGAAGAAGGCCACAGGATGACATTATTTTGTTGCAATAGAAAGAGCAGATCAATAGATTAATAGAGTTGAAATGCATTTTTTTTTTTAAATGTGCAGGTGCCTACACAACGTGGAATGGTTGTATATAATCAGATCAAGAGTGCTGGGCTGATATCATGATAATTTATCTGACTTTTAAATACCATTAACATGCTACTGTACTGCATGCAGAGTTTAAAACTCGCCTGAGCTTCCTGAACTGCTGTCTGGCAAATGCTCTCTTTATCTGCACACCTGAGATGTGCATCTGTTCACATGGGCATCAGGTGTGCAGCACCTGCAGGTTTCCAACACTAAAAGGGTAAGAATGATGCCGTGTTGCCTGCTACACGTGCCCTGGTGATGGTGCGCCAGTCATTAACAGCATCATCTAGCACAAGAATGCTTCAGACTGCTCCATGGATGTGTTTTAGATTTTTTTAATGTTTAAATTGCTATACAGGTGAGAACCAGGGAATTAAAGAATTTATCAACTAAACCAGATTCTGTTCCACAAAAAGCAAAACTCAACAGAGTCTGGATCCATGATCTGTTCCCACAGAAGCACCTTTAAGACAAATCAGAGCTCTTAGGGTGGACAGTTTCAGAGTAGACTTCCTCTTCCTGAACCTGTTGAGGTCTGAGCACAGCCTCTGGAACAGACCTGAGACGTGCTCACAGGGGGACCTACAAACTGGAGCTGTCAGGGCCGCCCTTTCCCCACCCGAGACCGGCCGAGATGAGCTCCACCACCCTTTCAGCCGAGCACAGATACTCAAGCAAACACAGTGACTTCTCCTGGAAAACAACAAACAACAACAAAAGCGTCTCCCCAGTTGTGCATCGCAACATTTGTTTTATAAAACCTGTAAAACAAACCGAAAGTGCAACGTGCACTACATCATTCCCAGACGTTCTGTGCCTTTTCTCAGAAAAGAGACTCACTGGTAAACAGACACACAGGGCTTACAGGGCACAAGCTGACTGTGGATGGAAAGCGAGTGGACCCGTGTGCCCCACAGACAGGAGCACACTGCCCGGTACACCCGAGTGTCTACAGGTGCCTGTAGCCAGGTACGTACAGGAGGGCAGCTCAGTCCATAGCTCAGGTGAGTGAGTGAACTGACCTTTTGCTGGGCTTTTATTTTGAGGTGTAGTTCACACACCCATGCAGCCCTGCCATCACACGCATGAACGTCACCGCAACACCACTTAGCAGCCTCTCCTGTGCTGCTGACCATCTGCCTGCCAGTCCCCGCCACACGGACTCCTCCGCCCTTTTCCAAACTTCCCCAGGGATTACTGCTCATATTCCACATCATTCAGACACGCTTTCATTCCCGAGAGGCTAAGAGCAGAAGGACTGACGAGCCAAACCTAAGATCAAGACAGAACCTAAGTATTCCTTAAGCAACAACAGCTCTTCATCCATTATCAGACATAATTTCACGGCCCTGTGACGTGGCTGAGACTTGTCTGCAAAGATGCAGATTATCAACTCTCACACAGTGGTCTCCAGATATTAGTTCGAACCTGTTATTCAACTTCTTGATGATCATATTGTTCCAGGTGTTCAGTGACTGTATCTAGTATAAGTGTGTGTGTGAAGTCAACATGAAAAAAATCATCACATTTGAAATCTTATGACCATCTTAGTCTTACCTGTTTACAAACTGCAATAATTTTCCTATCGTTTCTTTGCATTAGTCTTTTTTAAACAGAAAAAAAAAATCTCACTGCCACCTAAACCAAATCCTGCTGAAAATCATCTCCTAACCCACATCACCACAAACACACAGGCCTACTTCCTAGAATGCTAATGAGGGCTTATGAGCACAGCCATATCTCTGTGTCTAACTTCACTTGTGCAGCAATCTAAACGGAGGTCAAAAGGCTATGATATTGGTAACCTGGGAAACAGTCAAGTCCATAGCAACTGCATCTTCACTGCTCTCCCAACAGGAGGCCAGGGGGAGATCCTGCTCATTTTCAAAACGAACTCAGGCTAGACTTCTGTCTGTCCTTGGTTTAGATATTCAAGCACCCCTGCAATTTACAGGATAAAGTACATGGCATACAGTATACGCTATATATATATATTGCTGTATAGCAGACACTGCGTTATTCACTGTGCTGCAGAGTTAGAAAACTTTATTTACTTTCTACAAAGGAAACTATGGAGAAAAAGCCATTTGAAATTCAAGTTTCAATATTTTGACATGATCTCATCTGAAAACAAGAAGGAGCTAAAACTGTCCACTCAGTGGCCAGACTAATTACGATGGGTCTGTTTCATAAAACATTCATGTGAGTGGAAATGTATTGGGGTCCCATGCCCTTGCTGCTTCACTAATGCTTTGTCAAGGCAACCCTATTTCCCTAATCACCAAAGAAATCTGCAAGCTCGAGGGTCAGGGGTAAGTTAATGTCTGAACAACATCTTTTAAACCAAGCCTGACAACGAGACATGCATTTTACCTAATCTAGTTTGCACTGGATCTAAATTATTTAAAAGAATTAATTGATTCAGGGAGTTTGAAGGTGGAGGATGCTAAACCTATACAAAGTAATAAGCATAAATGTTCTCAGGAAAACAGCTTAAAAACTCATGAAAAATGTATGGTGACTTAAACAGAAACACAGGGAACAATGGCAAATAAATGGGAATAGGTTGAAGTCAGATTGAATAAGTTCAATTAACCTTCTGAATAGTTCCATTTCAGATTTCAGATTCTGCCAGTAAAGAATTACTTAAGAGAAATAACCCCCTAACTACAAAGACAAAATGCCTGCTATTAATATGAATACACCAGACTACTGGCAGCAATAAGATTTTTATTGATATAGTGGGATAATGGTGTGCCAATTACACACTCCGGCATAGAATTACACACAACAAATTGACCTACTGACCTGACACACCCAAAGAGGAGAGACCGGTTCATCAATATTGCTTAATCTTTAAAAGGCAAGAGGCTGTTTTGACTGATGGGAGAGTAGCCTGAAATTGTGGATTAAAAGACCATCATCTAAAGCTGAGACCATATTTATAGTGTTCACCAATGAATACCATCCCTTCACCCTGTAGCTGTTTCATCCACATCAGGGTCGCCGGGCAGCCGCGGCCTATCTCACAACGGGGCAGTGCAGAGCACAAGTACAAAGAACTGTGTCCCTTCAGACCCTTTGTCTGCTTTATATTTGTGCAACTTCTTGGCAAAAGGTTAGCATGATCGTGGTAAAAGAATCTCATATCACAAGATTTAAGATCTACAAGATAAATGAAAATCACCCAGACATTACTTTTATTTCATTTTTAAAAAGGAAAAATCCAAATGCATAAAAACAATTATGAGGGTAATGCAGGAATATTATTTCACCAATAAAACTGAAACTACTGCTTAGAACCCATTTGCTTCTAATTCTAAAATAATGCAATTAATGAATGTATTAATAACATGATGATAATTAATAACTGCAACTGAATGATACTACACAAAGACTAGACAACAGTCATCCTCATGTGATCTGAGCCTCGTGACTGTGGATTCAGCACCGAGAAAGGACTGAATTGCAAATGCCTCCGGACATCTAAGGTTTGACGAACTCAATAAAGAACAAGATGGATTAAAGAGATGGGCCCCAGGAAGAGTGTGAAAATGCAGTTTCTCTCTGAACAGGAGGATAAAAGATCAGAAACGATACGATGCTCTTTGGCCCATCAGGCCCATTTATTTGAACGTGGATCCAAAGACTTCGCCCAGTTGCTTCCTGCAAGCAGCCGGGATATCATGTCCGCCTGGACAACACGGCTGGCAGCAGACACTTACCACCCCTTGTGCAGGAGAAAGCACATTGAGTCCTCCTGTTAAAAGGCACATCCATGTAGTCTGCACTACTAAACCCCCCTCCCTGCGCTCACAATTAGAAGAGGACTGACGCGCGGCTCCGCCTGGGTGTGTGCTTGGCTGCCGTTGGGCTCCAGCAGCTGCACCGCGCAGCCTGCCAGGTGCACAGGTGTGCCAGCAGAATTAAGGTGAAGCTGCAGGACGTCCACACTGTGCCACCATGCAGTGGAATGCAGACTACGATGAGTGCTGTCCTTTCACATAGGCATAAAACAGATATCATTACACTAATTGCTAGCCAAGTTTACCACTACAAAAAGCACAAAACAAAAAAAACCACAAATGACAAAAGAAAATGAGAAAACACACCACAGATGGTACTGTTGCAGGAAGGAGAGGCAGTGAGTGAGATTATTTTCTGATTTCACACCTTAAGTCTAATAAAGCTCATTGCTCTTTAGAAGAAAAACCACAGACCTTCTTCACTGAGCTACACTGCACGTTCTCCTGCTCTCTCTCTCTGTCCTGCTCTGCTCATTTCCTGAAACACAGGAGTTATATCTCTCTGTAATCCACACACAGCCTGCTGCTCCAATGAAGCTCAAACTTCTGCTTTGCACCTTTCAGATGAAAGAGAGTAGCATGTCTAACGCATCTGATTGCCAGCAGCTAATTTACCCGAGGGTCTCTGGCCACTTCCTGAAAGCAACCACGGTATCGGCTTCAGCAGGAGCAGCTTGTTACAGACCTCCACAACCCTTGGTGTAAAGAGGTGCCTCCTGATCTCTGCTTTGCCATCCTCCCACTGTGGTGCTCGTCTTGTTTACTAAGTATGCACACTCGCCGACCGTCACGCAAGAGCTGCGCTGATAAACTTGTGACACAGATCGCCTCAGTGGAGGGTAAAAACTTGGGAGACGCTGGTGCTCAAGCAACATTACTACGGCATCTTGACACGGTTCCCGTCTTTGGCATTGACTTGCACTTACTACCCTCATGCGAGGACTTTCAAAATGTAATTATCGAGATCCCAAAAGAATGGTCTGCGTCCACGGGGATCAGACAGAGCAGGCTGTGAGGGGATGAACGAATGAGGAGTACTTGGCCATTAAAATCATCACCAACCCTGGCTAACTTCCTATGTTGCACGAAACGGTGGACCTGCACACACAAATCAGAAATTAAGCGTGCGGTTCAATAGCAGGTTCCCAGCTACTGCCAGCTTTGTCTTTAATCACAATGACAAGATCCGGTATTTACCCATGATTTAGTTTCTCCTTATGGGTCCCGTCTTCTTCATAAACTTTGTCCTCTTCCCTCACACGGGAACCAGAAGGCATTTCCGGGGTCTCCGGCTCCTAGCCACACCCTAGCAACGAGCCGACCAATCGCTGAACCGTTGCCATGGAGACGCCAGCCTCACGGGGCCAATCGCCGCCGCCGGGCTCCAGGAGGCAAAGATGAAAATCTCAGCGGCAGGCGAGAAGGGGCGGAGTGTGAGTGAACCTCAACCAAGCTTGTTTATAAACGACCTTGTTTGGAAAGTAAGAGCCAATTGTGTTCAACAATCGGTTGAGGTGCCTGCACGTCAACCAGTAGTATAGCAGGTGGTGGGTGGGATAAAGGTAACGAGCTAGGTTGACCCATAGCTACGGCTTGGTTGTTGATCGGTTTAACGGAGTTTACTGTACAGTCCTGCTTGGCTTGGGCACTTTCAATGAAAAGTGATATGAAAAGGTCTGGACCTGAGCTAGAATAGGTAAAATAAATCGCAACTACCAGTCTATTTTTCTTGAACGTGTAAGCAACACAGTTTTCTTACTTAATACTTTTGACTTTGTTTTTTTTTTTGCGGTAACTTGGAGCAGCGATTTCATGTATCCTTGTGACAGAGCGCACATCACTGGCGGCTAACTTCAATCAGTGCACAACACGAACACCCAAGCCCAAGGAGAGTGGTCCATGTCTGTAGCTGGAGGTGCAAATCGAATGAGATACGGACGCAAAACCAGGTCTGCAGTCTGTGCTCTGGTCTGGCAGTTACATGGCTCGTATTGGCAGCTCTCAGTTAAACCTCCAGGGCCCGGGCAGCTCAGTAGACCGCCCCGGTGCCGCGCTGTCAAAGCCCGGACACTCAGCCGCCGCGCCGCCGGCTCCGGCCGGGGCTGGGGGCGACGGCGGGGTCTGCAGTGGGCCCATCACCCGGAACACGAGGCTCCTGCTGCAGGAGTTCAAGGGGCTGTACGAGGACAAGCTGAGGCGCCTGGAGTCCGAGCACCGAGGTGGGAGCCGCGAAGACGCGCTGCGGGTACGTATTCATACAGGGCCGTCCTGTTTCGGGGCCGCCGGGAGCTGTTACACAGGATGCCCACCTGACTTAGGCCTCAAGAAGGACGGGGCAATACCATTGAAGTTTTCCCGATTCGCCCGAGAAAACGAGAGGCGAAATAAAAAAAAAAGAAAGAAAGGGGGATTGAATGGTGAAATTCCTGCTTCTTTTGCAAAACTGCCCGTCTGTTTTCCGCCTTTAAAGAAGAGCGCCACAGGTGAGCCGCAGCGGGTGCGTCATACGTAATTGCGTGGCGACGTACGGCGTGCTGTCACGCCGACCCCCCATATCTGAAGCACAGACATCTCACCTGGAAGGTTTCTCTGCTCCACCGCGCCGACAGAGGTGCTGCACAGTAGCTCCTGTTTGCAGCCTTTAAAGTGTCATTTTCGTCATCATCATGACAACGTCTCCAGAGCTGAGTATTCGTTCTTGGGTGTCTTTGATTTAAAATGTTAAGTCCGCTTCATACTGATTTTCAAAGCTGTGGCATGTGAACGTACAGTTAGAAGGGCACGCCATCGGCCCCATCAACAACTTGGTGTCTAGTTGTGAATTGGTCCCAGGATCTCACTCATCCAGCTGTCGGCTTCAGCGACATGGCTGGAGAGCTTGTTCCACACCCCCAGTGCCTCCTGACCTCCCTCTTGAGAGCATTTCCGCGTAGTTTTCGTTGGGGTCCTCTGCTTTCACAGTTGGTTCTGAAGAAGTATGCTGGGTTGACTTTGAGGATTTTGAGAAGTTGAACCTGGTCCCCTTCGGGGATGTTGATGAGGTCATACTGGTCCCTTGTAGTCTCTAACTCACACTCGCACACCTCGTAGTTTTTGAACCGTCAGTACCAGTCATTCCAGCATGTGTGGTGTGTACAACACCTGATCACTCCTCTTAGGACCGGCTCAAGAGCAGCAATAACATCCTGCAGTATTGTTGGTCTGAAGACCTGGAAAACATTAACAAAGTCTTTAGTGACTGTTTAATGTAACTTTATGAATGCACATAATACTTACATTAAAGATTACCACATGGTTAAAATACAAATTGTTATTTTGTTTGCAATAGTGCTTTTCACAATACTGCCACAAAGCACTTTACAGATGTCTAGGAGACTTTACAGTCTGAGGAGACTCAAAGTATTGCTTCAGGCTTGCCAAGCAGCAGCTTTTTTTGTAGAATGGTTGTTGAAACTAATTATAAAACACCATGTGCATAGATGAATTATAGCTTTCATGTTTTGCAGATTAATTTGTTTCCACCTTACGTCCATAAATCAGAATAAATAAAAATGCTTCTAATCATTTTATTCTCATTAGGAATCTTGTAGATAACTGAGATTTCAAGCTGTAGTTCAAAAGTACATTAACGAGATTTAAGAAATAAGGTTTAGTGCTTTGGGCTTCACTTAATGAGGTTATGCCTCTGGGATGTAGGGTAAACTTTCAAGGTTACCATATGATAAACAGCAGGTCTCTGAAAATATCAGCCTTTGCCATCAGGAGTCCATGAAGATCTAGAAACGGTACTGCTGTTTCTTGCATAATTCAGAGCAATGAACTCGAAATTGTATCTCCTGTCTTTCCTGTACAGCTTAAGAGGTATATCAGATAAACCCCACACTGCATTTCAGATTTCGAAGGTAAATGCCAACATAAACAGCCCGCAGAATATGAAATGACGGTGTCGCATCTTGATTCTTGACTTAATAGTATAAGGTGAACGTAACCTCGGATCAGCACACAAAGGAAGCGCATTTTGAAATTTTGGAATGGTTTTCGCTGTTGTGTGGTAGATTACAGTAAAATGTCACATTTCACCTTGTTGGAACTAAGGTTATGCGAAAGGGTGGGATATGTGAACATTTTGTAAATTTATAATAAAAAAGAAATTAGAAATCAATATGATGCACAAATAAGATTACACTGCAATAAATTTAAGTATTTATTCATCATGCCAAGAAGGGCATATTTTCATATTAAATTACAGTGAATGAGAATGCTGATAAATGAAATGTAGTCTTTCTTTGTATTCATGAAGATGTACGCGACTATTCGTCATGTCTTATTGTTACGGTTCTGTGTTATTATTCCTGACTTGGCTGCCTTCGCATATTTTTCTTTCAAATGTCCTTTTTGTTCATTCAAAGCAAACCTTTCTGCGGCCGCGCGTTCGGTTTTTCCCTCTTGACCCAAGAACATAAGAAAGGTTGCGAACGGGAGGAGGCCACTTCTTTGGTGTCTAATAAACTATTGATCCAGCTCCTTCTGGACAGAAAACAGAGTACCCACTTCAACCACGTGGCTGGGTAGCCCCTTCCATACTCCCACAACACTGTGCACAGGCAGGTGCTGCCGGTGGACTGTGGAAGGAGCTGGAATGAGCAAACGGAGGTGAACTGAAGAAGGCAGACCAAAGTGTTTCACAGATCCGGACTGTGCCAGAGCCATCTTGGCACTTGCTGAAACCCTGTGTCTCTGCATCATGCACTTGAAATACCAACTTCTTCTTGCTAGGATGGCTAAGTGTTTAATGCGCAAGAGACGTCCTTGTGAACTAAGTCTAGATTTGCTGTCCAAATTTATTAAAGTTAAAGAAAGGAATAACATTTTTGGAAATGTATTTGATGGAAATAATTATGGAAATAAAGATGGGTACATAATGCAGGTCATACATTATAAATTAATGTGTTCTGTACAAATGAACCGCTGCCTAAAACAGTGTTGAGCTGTATAAGGATACAAAGAAAGAGCCCCACTGCCTCCAGGCCCACACAGCTACAGGGAGTGACGCAACTGCAGAGTTTTCAATGTGGGGAACAGTGTGGCTCCTGGGAAGGAAATCTCACTTGACAACAGCCTGCAAATCTGAACTTTAGCAAAAGAAAAGGCTGCTCTTCTTGACCGATGGCAGGCTGACTCCGTGTTTCACCCAATGCTGTGTGTAAGGCTGGTTTGTGATACTGCTACTGATGAGGATAAAAGTGATCGGGGGGGGGGAGCCCAAACTCTCTAAAACTGTTTGTCAAGTTCCTTGGAAAGTTTTCTTACCAACAGAGATCTTTTGAATCACTTTGCTGGATAGACAGGAAGTGGATTTTTCAAAAGGAGTAAGAGACAAATGTGTCCAAAATGGTCTCTGTGATTTGTATCTTTTCAGAAACCGGCGCTTGAGGCTGGCAACAAGATGCTTCCACTCCTTTTTTATAGCTCACATGTGCCTCTTTTTGTAGATGAAAGTGCGGATTCTTCATTCCTACGTCAATGATCTTAGTGATCAAAATCAAGTCTTGGTCCAGACGGTGGAAGATCTTGAAAAAGAAGCTAATGACAAAGTAGCCCTTTTGGAGGCTAGAATTCAAGCTGCTGACCGGCTGGTTAAGGTAAGATGTCCTTCTCCCTTCCTTTGTCCTGCTCCTTCAGTTGGGCTCCCTGAGTTTGCCTTTAAACTGTTGAGAGATTGTATATTTCAACCAAAGTCTTGCAGGATGCAAATGTTTTGTGTGGTGTGACGCTGAACGCCTTTCGTTTCCCTCTGTTTAGAGAGGCTTGTGCTCCAGACACAGTGCTTCTTAATAAACGCTTGATGCCTGTTGTGTTCTGGCATCTCATCCGCTTGATTCCTGCGGAAGGGAAGACTTGAAATGAGGGGCATGACGGGGAAGACCAGTTCCTCTGGCCACCACCTTGTCCACATGTGGATTTGTAATTCCATTTTCCAGCAATGACAACAGGTTTTCATGTGCTGAGCGAGGGCTCGTAAAAGTTTCTAAAGCTGGTAATTCCAAAAAGAATTACGCTTCATCTTCCTTGAAAAGGAAAAAAAAAAAGAATTACTCAGACTCATGTAAGTCCATAGTTTATAAAAAAGAAAAGCACGGCATTTGTTTACCTGAAAAATGCATCAAGAAAATATACATTTACATCCCATTCCTCCAGTTAAGCTGGAAATACCCATGTGGTTAGTGAAGTGAGATCCACAAATTCTATTGACTGGTTTCCCCCTGATGTGCTTAATATCATTATGCTGTATTCCTCCAGATGTTCAAGCGTTTCAATGTCTTCACGTCCCTGCCTCTTACTTCCTGAGCGTTTGCTTCTGTCTGTTCTGCTGATGTTCAAGCTGAAGGCATTCTTCTGTTTCCAAGGTTAATTAAGACATCTCAGTGTTAAGACAGCTCTGCCTAGGCTTTGACCTTTGGTGACAAAGACAACAGGCTCTACAGTCTCGGCCATAAAACGCTCTGCGTTCCTTGGATTTCAGCCATTCATTTCTATTCTTACCTTGTATAAGTGTCAAATTGACTCATATAAGTGAGTGCTGTTGCAATCACGTCGCTGAAGTCCCTCCCTCCTGCATAAGGGAGGTCAGTAGATGTACAATTTAGCAATATTATCTGTTTTTGTTTCTTCATCTGCCTGGGCAGGGAAAGAACATTATTTCAATAAGGTGGATATTCCCGCTCTGTAATCTTATCTAAAAAAACAATCCACCAGTAAATTAGTCTGTAGACGTACAGGAAATGTCCGTTGGCTTAAGTAAATGAGTAGCCGCTGGATCCGACTGTTCTTGTGTTCTGAGTATAAGCAATCCTTTCCTTTCCTCTCCACTCACATTTGAAATCTTGCTTTGAGGTGGTAGCCTACTTTTTCCAGAGCGTTGGGTGGAACTTTTAATTGCCTTGGAGAAATAAATTTTGTTTCTTACGTGTTTAGCTGTTTTTTTGTGATGTGCTCACTTTAAGTTCTTCTGTCTAGCACTGCTGTTTCTAATGCTGCCTTTAATAATGTATGTGAAAAGACATTTTCGCAATCATGCCACACAATACCGAAAATGGAGTTTTATGACAGTCACGTCTTTTTGCCTCATGGTTTTGAAATGGTAGTCATCAAAAATGTGTGTGAATAGCTGTCTGCATACATTTGCTTGCAGCAGGCATAGGGATGTTTGTTGGAATTGCTTTAAGGACCTGGAGAAGGTTTGTTTTTTTCCAGCTGAGATATCTTAGGCAATGAAACCAGTAATTTGCTAGGTTGCTCCTTATGCATTCAAAACGTTTAAGGTAAGAGTGGCATTTTATAAAATGAATTCCACACCCTTTAAAGAATTGAGGTTTTTCTCTATCAATTTTTTTACTTTTTTGGCATGCTGTTGGCTATATATAATGTGCTGTACCATAGAAGCGTCAGGCTGAGAAACTCCTGAGAATTCTACACTTTTGTAATTGTGGGAGTGAACAAAAACACTTTCTAATTAAAAAGTACTGTATCAGTTTAACAATTCTTATTAAACTGTAGCTGTTTAATAAGAATTGTTTGTAAGGGGTGTGTAAGCTTTAGATCTCCAAGGCATTAGTGTGTTAGACATCTTATGTTACCTCATTTTGTTTTTGCATTTGATTTTAACTGTGGGCAAGCAAGTGTCTCTTCTGTGGGTGTTTTGACAGACACTTTTAATAATTGATTAATCACCACATTAAATAATTCAGTACTGTCCTGGGTTATTGATGTTGAAGAACTACGCAAAGAGGGTTTAGTATAGAATAATAGCTGTGCTGGCAGTTAGGTGCTGTCTGGTACTGATAAAGCGCACAGTGTCACGTACAGTACAATTTCATGCCCAGACTGTACGCTTTAGAGTCTGGCAGCGTGATGGAGCTAAGTCTGAGTAAGTACTGGAGCAGGCAGAAGCTCAGGCATATAGTGCAGAAAACTTAAAAATATGATCTTTGTGCACAGTTGGTCACCTGTTTTAATGTGTTATTTGCATTCGCGCACATAATGAATTATGAATGTGTGCCATTTTCACAGCTTCTGTTCCTGCTTATATGATGAACACTGGGTTCTGTCACTAACATCATGTCTCAGTTACAGCTGAGGCCGTTTCTGTGCGTTTGCAGCTTGTAGCCTAGGCTTGTACAAGCCAGCGGCCAGTCTTTTCAGGAAACGCAGGCGGTGGATGGCTCTGATCAGGGCGCCACGAACGCCTGTGAGCTGCTGAAGCCGCACTGCACCCGGGCCCCGCGAGCTTCCTGCGGGAATCCCGCGGCTCCGCCCCGGAAGAGCCAGCTCCGGGGAGGAGCGGGGCGCCCAGGCCCTTGCTCGGGGAGGGACCCCGGACCGCACTGCTTTCCTTAAGGAAGCGTAGCCATTTTAAGGTTGATGATTCTCTGTCGATGACGTTGAATCGGCTTTAACGTCTGCGCTGATCTGCTGGTTGGGGAATCTGGATCTGAGGAGCAAGAGCGAACTGGGGTGTTGTTGTACTGCGTGAGAAAGTCATTGCTGCTGGCCCTTCGACACAACCCCACGAGTTGCTCACGAGTCTTGCATAAAGCATATTCTATCCTAGAGCACCCTTTACACCATTTGTTTAATTAATTCCAATTACTCCCCTCAGAACGCACCTTCAGATTTTCCAATCTAAAAACACACAGGTTTAAATTCTCATTCATACCTGCGGCCATAGCCCTGCTTGGCAGACGATTCTCTTGGACAGACTCTGTAATAGCCTGTCTCTTGATGCTTGGTGACTGGGAATGGAATGGCTGTAACAGTTTGGCCAAGACAGACCAACAGTGCCAGTCTTTCAGAGTGGTTGCTAAACATCACTGATTTTACTTCTTGTCTGAACTAGCGCCAACCTTCCCAAAATCCTAATCAGTCTGTGCTGGTGGGTTTAAGGGTTCATCAGCAGGCAGGTATGGATTGATGGTCTTGTGATGGTCATTTGGCAGAATGGAGGTGTGTCTGCAGGAACTTGGAAGGGTACCCTGAGACTTTGGACAAGCTGAACGGCCAGATACATTACCATGTGTTTTAATGTCAGCTCAGTCGTTGCAGGGCTTTTAGATAGTTTGTCCAAAAAATACAGTTTTGGTAAAGTTCTGCATCTAACAGAAACATTGCTAGTGAGCAAGCAAGACCTTTCATATTTGCAAAGTGCAATCAAGAGCAGCTGTTTGAGATATATATATATATTCAATTCTGGCGTGCAGAGCTGTTTCAGGGTGCCATCTCTATTGCAGGTTAATTGTTTCATAACCTGCCCCCAAGTTACTGATGATTTGAGTTCATGTCTGAATTCCATAGCACCACATCAGAGGAAACAGTGAGGAGACATCTTAGAGCAATGAATATGAGATGGTTATTGCTTGAAAACCTTTCTTCAGACGAAGGGAACCCTTATAAAGGGGACCAACCCACATAAACTGTTAAAAAGCAATGCAATAGAGTTTTATGTTTATAGACTGGTGGGACAATATAAAGCCTAAATTAAATCAGAAAGAAGAACAGAAGATTTTGAAATTGATATCCTGGGCTGTCCATTTTCCTGATCTTAAACTCATTGAAATGTTACAGGATTACAGGAGAGCATAAGAACATTACTACCAGCCCATTTATTCTGGTGGTTTGGATAGGAGAACAAAAATTGAAGCACATTAACAATGGTTGTGTAACAGTATTTGTTTGTTTGGTTATGATTGCTTACGCAAGATATTTTGAAGAGATCCTTTTGCAAGAACTGACTACAAAGCATACCCTGCTTTTTCTTTTATGTGAAGTTAATATAAATCCATTAACACAAATGTTTCCCATTCTATTTGCTTTTGGGTAAGCTATCCCAATAGTGTAATTTTAATATCAAGATCCTAATGATTGCCAGTATGGGTCTGTACACACACTGTTACTTTAGTTACATGCCCATGTCTCGACTTTGCTCAGGTGTAGCCATGAACTCTATTGAAGGCATTTTATGCTCGCCTGTTTTGTTACTGCTTAAAGAGAGATGTTGATTGATGTTTTATGGATGGAAGGCTGAATTTTGGTAATGAAGATGAACTGTAGGGAGTGAGTGGTTCAGGGATTGTTGAATACCTTGAATGCTGAAAAAAATCAGTTCACTTTGCTGCTTTCTATAAAAGCTCAGCTGCATACTTTTGATTATTTTTTCACTGAAGGCCATGGAAATAAATGCACTATTGTGCTGTTCATCTTTGGCTTATGATAGCTGTTTAAGGATACTTAAATTGTGTTTCTCCGTTAATCCTAGTGCTGAAGTCTTTCAGGATTTCCACTCCAGTATATAAAACAGTAAATGTGCTTGAAAGAGCTGCCTTTAAGTGTAAAATGAAAAAAAGATAAATTCTTTCTTTTTATTATTCCCTTTTTAATGTCTGGCCTAGAGAGCATAATTTATTGTAGTTACAAATTGCTGACTTAATATGGAATTTGTTAATTGATATTGAAAATTAAAAAGGCCAGGGTCAAGTATTGTAGGACAGTGTTAAGGAAAAATGTAAATTCTTTGTTATTTAGCTCCTCTCTGCTTTGCGTTAATTATCTTTAAATCAGTCAATTATTTACATTTGCTAGGGAAAAGAGAAACCTTGGTGCTATGGTTCTAGCTATCGCCGTACTTATTTCACAGAAAGTGGCAGCTTGAGTATAATGGCATGAAATGAATATTGGAGAGAGGTGACATCCATGCAGAGTTCCAGATGGCCAGCAGGTGCATATTCCATCATTTCCCAGGTGTTACAAACCACATGGGAAGATGTATTTGGAGAAAAGTCCAGTGAATCGAGTACATGGGTATAGCAAAGGAGTGAGATCAGAAGATCAGCCGTGAAACTATACCGCGGTAACTTTAACACATCTCCGCGGTTGCAGACCGGGGTCCAGTTAACCAGAGCTCGTGCTTTGCAGGGAGTCCTCGTGGAGAAGGAGGGCTTGGAGGAGCTTGTCCAGAGCCTGCGTGAAGAAAATCTGGACATGAAGCTGGACGTTGACAGTCTTGTGGGAGCAGTGCAGCAAGCTCGAGGCGCGCAGAAGCTAGAAGTGAGTGAGGACATTTTTATGCCATTATAAACATTTTGTTCTTACAGTGTTGATAGCAGACTGTACAGTGACAGAGTGTTGTTAATACTTGCAGCAGAAATCTTCTCTCTCAGATTTGGATATTTTAAAAGTTACCCTGGATGTGTAACCTTTGATGACCAAGATACGTTGCTCATCCTTTGATCTCGTTGTGAAACCGTTTGCCCGTTTCCACTCCAAAAACCGAATCGGCAAATGCAGCCAAACTGCTGAACGTTAACAGACAGGGTTTGGGCCAGCTGCCTTCCACTTGACCTCACTGGTCAGCAGGGGTCTTCATGCCACGGTGATAAGACCTACCCCAGATATATTCAAAACCATGGTGCTACAGTGTAGAGCTTTGTTTTTATCTAATAAGACTTTTGACCTTGACTTAACTACCATTTAAACTTGTTCAGCTTTTGCCATTATCTGTCATTGCCTTTTGCGGAACTTGTGCCTTGTCAGTGTCATGTAGTTGCTTCACCGTATAACTGGAAAGGAAATGGGCAGCACCAGTATGAACACTTGTGTGAAGTGGATGTGGGGGAGGTTCTGGTGCTTAATGGCCAGATAAGTGAAATCATTTAGCTGAAGGCCGCAACCATAATGAAGGCTACAAACAGCACCTGGAGCACTATTGTAAACCACATACAGTTGTAAAGCATGATTTTAATTAAGAAGAACCCAATATACCGCTGGAGATATAGGTCTACCACTCGAGATTCCAGCCTTGGTCCTGGAGAACCCCAGTGGAGCTGGTTTTATTAATCGTCACTCCATCTCTAATTTCTAGAATATGTTGAAGAATTTCGTCCTGACTTGATCACCCTAACCCTAACCCTAACCCTAACCCTAACCCTAACCCTAACCCAGTATCCCAAACAGACAGAAGTGCTCAAAACTACAAAGACCCGCCCCTTCAGAGTCTTCAACCAGTGAAACAGGAGGACTCAGTGCCATCTAAGGGGAAAAACGTTTCAAACTGAGGACCAAAGGTACTTCAGGAGACACACAGACCTCTTCCCCACTGGATTGCCTCCGTAGATCAGTTCTGATAGGCTATGACAACACTGGATGTACTGGGCGGTCTAGATCGCCTCTTTTAGCTTATAACTTTTCTAATGTGCTTAACAGGACTAACATGGGCAAATCTGAGTTCGGCTCAAGGAGACCTTTTTCCTTTTTATTTCCTGTAATTAACATCATTTGGCTTTTTGGCGGTACCCTTTGATCAGTTAATGTGATTTCCATCTGACATTTATCTAATTTATGTCCCACATGCCTTCTGTGGGATTCGTCATTGTGTGCTCTTCTTCCCAGTCAAGCTAACTGCCCCACCGAAAAAACACACCGAAAAGAGTCCTCAAAGCGGTGGGTTCTGATCAACCTACACCCAGTTAGCATATTTGCAGGAATTTTTTAATGGGATGGCCAAACCTGCTTCTGGAGGGCAAAATATAACAAGTCTTGCAGATCACTTGCAAAGAGTAAATGTGTAAAGAGCCTGGATACACGAGTTTTGAGCAGTCTTGAGCAGTTGAGTGTTCCAGTCAAGGCTGACCAGCTGCTGTACTTGGGAGCTGCTGCTGTGTTTTAATTCATCTGGCTGCTGTGAACCTGAGAAACCTAGAAGAGAAATGGCAGAATTGTTTAATATCGAACATAACATCTAGAATAACACCTGCACACGCTTTAGTCTGAATGTGAGTGTACTACAATGATGTGAACAGGATACTGATGTTGAGTCTCTCCAAGGGTCAGACGCCCATGCATAAGAGAGGCACTAAAGAAAAAGATATGCCTTGGGGCCTATCTAGCTGCTTTATAACTAGAATAAACAGTATCGCAGAAAACTGCTCGCTTGCAAAACCAGTACGGATGAATTGATGTCAGACTCAAAAAAGCAGAAAGGCTTGTATTAAGGAATAAATTGCTTAAAGCTGCTATGCCTTAAAACTATTTGCAGAACACAACAATCTGAGTATTTTAGCTTTCAGCTTCACATCTGGATTAAATGGTATACTGTCTGCCCTGTCAGCTGCTGGCTACTCATGGGTTTAAAATCAGGCCGATAGCAGAAGCAGGAGAAACGGGCTTCCCCACCTCTGTCAGCGACGTGGACGCTATACAGGCCAGTGTAGTCACGTGGGAAAGCGGAGCGCACTGCTTCTCAACTAAGTGTTTGTGCAGGTGGGGGGGGATCTGAGTAGGCGTGAGTGCTGGAGCTGTGTTTGTGCACTTGTTAATGACTTCCCTTTGGGCGATAATTGATCAGCTTCATTACCATAATAAGTCCCTAATCATATGCCACTGCCGTAGAGCTGTATAATAAATGTCCTGTTTGCTTTTTAAAATAATGAACTAATTAGACTAATTAAAATCAATAAATGTGCCAATGTAAGGTTAGGATTTTGTATGTGGTCTCTGTGTTAAGTAAAAGTCACCAGCTCAGTAAAAAAAAGATCTAATACTGATTTATGAGCGCCTGACAGTCGTTAGTTAGAATAAATTGCTTGTAGTAGCAGAGACAGCATTATTCAAGTACAAGATACTAAGTGCATTGTAAGGTCAGCAATAAGGGCAAACTTACATATGTACTTGTGTGCCACCTTAAACCTATGTTAATACATCAGGACAGAGGGTGAGGATGTCCCATACTGTATGTTATGTTAGTTAAATAAGCTTGCTCCAAATACTCTTACTCTAAAAAGGAAATTGATACATGAGTGACATGAAATGCTTATCATTATAA